ACTAGGTTCTCACAAAGAATGTCAACCAGCAACGGTGAGTGAGATAGTTCCAAAACATATTGGCTCCAGGCTCGATCTTGGTGTTGCTATCATTACCATGTCCTCTTGAGCTCTCCTTAGGATTCTGTACTTCCCAGGATAAGGGCTCTGTGGTACATATTCTCCTTCCCCCTTCAATCTTGCTATTTTCCTTTTCTACCTCCTTTTTGCTTTTCCAATGAAGTTGATTTCTTCCCCCAAGAGGTACTTTCTCAAACTCCACATTTTTAGAGGTTTCCAAGGTCGTGAGGGCTTTTAATGAGTTCATGTGGGCTTTGTGTTGCCTCTGAACTCTCCTAATCATAAAGGCTCCCATTTCTTTGATAGGTTTCCCATCTTTTCCTACTATGTACCATTTTCGCCCGAGTTGAGCAGAATCTTTCTTGGTGAATGGGGATGTAATGCTTTTTGTTCTTGCCTTCATTCTGACATTATTGTAACTTGGTTGGGGAGGCCTTACATCCACCCATTTTGGTATTTTGGCTTTTCTGTCCTTCGCCTCTTCAAAGGCTTCATAATTTCTGAATACCTCTGATAAACCCTTTGGTTAAGAATCTCCTCCCAACCTATGGAAAACATTTCTAGAGGTCTCTTTCTCAACTGCTTGCATGATACTTCTGCAGGCTTCTTGTTCCTCTTTCTCTTTTCTTCTGATCAATTCTTGATCAATAATGGCTCCTGATGCTTGTACTTCTAACTGACATTCACCCTGGCGCTTACTACACAACATCAGTCCTTTAACTATGGCTGCTTTGGGTTTCTCAGGCAGCTTGAAAGTTCCTTCTGTTGGTTTGTCAACTTGCCTCCTTTTTACTTTCACTTCCTAAGTAGCTTTCCATTTCCTTTTCCTTTTTTTTGCCAAAGTTAAGTTGATAATCTTTATTGGGGTTTTTGGGAAGGGACCCATGTTAATCATCATATTGGCTTATGGGTTTCCGAACAACAACTTTCTTTTCACTATGAGGTCTTGTATCCAATCCCTAAACTAGACACAGTTGGTTATGGAGTGATTGAAGGTATAGTACAACTTGTAATACTTTTTTCCTCTTAGCTCTTCTAGCTTAGGCATCTTTTTGGTGCTGTCAGGCATGATCACTCTTGCCTGCACCAACTCTTCGTAGATCTCTGAGGCCTTGGTTAAATAAAAAGAATAACTCTAGTATTTAGGGGGTTTCATAGGGACAAATCCACCATCAATCATCACCACTTTCTGATCCTTGACTACTTGGACGAACCCCTTCACTATTAAAGGTTTGAAAGGGGTAGTCATCTCTGCTGTACATATGTCCATCCCTTCTCTTCCATGGCCATCATTTTATTATGGCTCAGCTCCTTCAAACTCCACTTGGTGAATTGTAGCTTTAATTTTGTAAAAATAAGGAACCTTAGATGAGTGCTTCACTTGCTGTTCCTCCAGTAATAGCTTTTCGCACTTTGTGGAAACAATTACCAACTCTTGTAACTCATTGAACTGTACATCATAAAACTTTTTCCTCAAAGGTGGCCTCAAAGCCTTCTGAGCAATGGATATGAGTTGGGCATGATTGATAGGGAATTGGCACCTCATTCTTGTCCTTCTGAACCTCATCATGAAGTCTTCTGTAGACTCATGTTCATATTGCTTCACCTCCACTAAATTATTGGTAGACATCTCGGGCTGCATCCTATAGAACTGCTCATGGAAAACCATCTCCATTTGCCCCCAGTTAGCAACAGAATTGGGGGGCAAGAAAGAATACCATTGAGATGCTAGGCGAACCAATGAGTTCCCAAACAACCTTAACTTATAATTAGGACTGTCTTCGAATGCCACGCAATGGTTGGAGAACTTGAAGATGTGATCTCTAGAGGATACACTGCCATCCTCCTCACTAAAAGTGGGAAACATGGGCATTTTGAAGTTGAGTGGAAAAGGATTTTACTCAGTAATATACTCCAAGTAAGGCTTCTAGTAGGTGATCTTGAACAGCAGGTGAGCTGAGGGTTGAGCATTCTGGGCTACCATCATTCTTAACTCAGCTAACTCATCTCTAAGCTGCTGGTTAGTTGTATTGTTGTATAGGGTATGTGAGGTTCCTCATTTCGGGCTGCGATCATTGCCTGAGAAAGTTTCCTATTTTGGGTTGGGCTGTATCTACTTGGCATCCCCTCCCTTACTGGCTAATGATGGGGGCCTATAAGGATAAGGCTTGTCTTCCTTGGTAGGCTTGCCTTTTCCACTGGATTCTCCTATTAGTTGGGGCATCCCATAGTTCTTTCTTTATTGCCAACTCTGCCCTCTACTATTTAGTGAAAATAATAGGGGGTTGGGTAACTTCCCTTATAGGACGTCATCCAAGACTGGTTGACTAGCTCCAGATCATTCCTTGTTTTTTTCCTTTATCCCTTCCCTATTTTCCTTAGGCAAAGGAAATAAAGGGATAACTGGTTCTTTCTCAGGACTAGCCTCTCTCATCACTTCCCTAGCATAACCATTTTTTGGAGTAGAGTACTTTAGATCTAATCTTCTTTGCAAATTCCCTGTTAAAGAACAGAGTATGCTTACTTCTCCTCTGGTTTCCAGAGTGATCTTCTCCATACTTTTCATCACTTGCACCATGGTGGCTTGCAAATCTTTATTAGTTAACTTCCCTCCTGACTTCTCGGATGAAGTCGAGCTTTCTAGAATAGTTGGTCCTTGTAGGGAAGGAAAATCCTCTAGATGATTTGTCATGCTTGATCTTGGTAGACATTGGGGTGGCCCGTATTCTATGTTCTACCTGAAGGTTTTCTCCTTCCTTCTCCTTCTTGTCATACAAGACTAAATAGAGGTCTCACTAGGTGTGCCAAAACTATGTTCGGGCGAAGATTTCTCTAGAAAATGATCCTTGGACCTCAGCGCAACTCCCTAAGGGATTGGCACTTTGGATGTGTAGTCGGGCTCTTGCTTGTTGATGTGCTACAAGAAGAAGACAAAGTTAGTTCTGAAAGGTGCCTTTGTGGGGTCTTAGGTGTAGGTCTTGAGGCTCGCAATCAAAATTAACTAAGTGCTAGGCGTGCCACTACTATCTCAGTATAGCAAATGTAGAACAAGAGTGTTTTAAGTCGATTACTTGTGCCCCAAGTTACTCGGACTTCTTGTTATCAAAGGATTGTCGCAGGTTGGTTAAGTCTACATTAAGTTCTTTTTCTTGCCTTGTAAACAAGGACTTTTAGTTCATAGTGTTGTATGTTTCAATGAAGGGAGTCCAAATCCCCTTAACTCATTTGTTTGGTCCTAGATTGCTTTTAATGATAAAATATCTATTAAACTAACCAGATCCAAATGCAAATGGAACTCTTAAGATAGGAAAACCGATGGAAATAACTTGAATACGTATTGGAGAGTGCATTAAGTAATAGATCTATTAACTTAGAAAACAAACAAAGAGCTTCGGGCAAGATTTCACCTTGTATATGAAGGTTGAACCTCTTGCAATCACTTCTCTTTGAATTAATAGGGGTTTATATGTTAAAAAGGGATGGATGGTAAACAAGTTTACACAAGGGAATTGATACTATGCCACTAAGGGAGATAACAGAGCTTTAAACTGGACAAGAGATAGCTTGTAACTCAAATGGACTGAATCCAGGTTGATTTCAGCATTTGGATGTAAATCTGGCTTGAGAGCAGAGTTTGTATGTATGTTTGTTTGTTTGATTGGTTGAGTGTCTTTGTCTCTGGGGCTTCTTCCTCATTTTATAGGCAAATTAGCCCGACTATTGTAACTTTGTTCTTGCTCGAAAGCACTTGGAGGGTAGTGAGTCATCAGATTTTTACTTGGAATACCACTGGAAAGTGTTCTTTGGCTGGTAGTAGGTTAGTCTTTATCACTTGTCACTTTAGTGGTAAGCACATCGCTAGCATCTTGGGTTAGAAGGCTCCACTTTGCCTTTTGGCTTGGTGTTGGGCTTCGGGCAAGTCCCCTTTTAGTTGGCATCCTAGGGCTTTCCTTCATCTAAATCCAATGTTCAAATATTAACCCAAACAGTCCGAGTACTCAACTGTAACTTTATCAAGGAAATTGCACTTGGATTGGGCCTGCATTGGCCCATACGAGTGCATTGCACTAGCCTTCACCCTCGTTTGGGTTGTAGTCTTTTTTTTTTTTTTTTTTTTTTTTTTTGTGAGAACATCGATATTTTTACACTAAGGGGAGGGCGAGTTTGGCTAGGTCACACAGTGGGAAGCCTAATTTGGTATTGAATTCGCCATCCACGAGATTCGAACCTAAGACCTCTCACTTCCAAGTGAAGAGGAATACTATCAAACCATAGTACTGAGTAGTAGGTTATAGTCATTTTTAAATCTTTCTTTTTAATATATGTTCGTGTATAGAAAAAAAATAACACTTTTGAGCTTTTGCCCCAAGCACCAAAACATTCAGGCTTTAATGAAGCTTTCTTCTATAAAAAAAAAATAAATAAAAACAAAATAAAAACAAAAGTGGGATTTTTTTCATAATATTTTATAATATTAATATAAGAATTGACGTTAAATTTTGGAAGTAGCAGAGAGAGTCATGCTTGAGAATCTCTCCTTAGCATTTCTCTATATAAAACTTGATGATCTGGTGCACGTACTACCTTATCGATAGGGGCAAATGACTAGTAGGTCGGAGGCACAAATGATTGGTAGATCAGGTCACGGACTAAGTACATTACTGATTACCCCACTCGTAGTACTTAGTAGATTAAGCACGGAACACCACATGGAGACTGCTAAAATAAAGTCAAAACAATAATTTTTCCAATCATCATGGATATTTCCACTGTAAGCCTAGAGAGTTATGTACACAATATATGTATTTTATTCTATCATTTAGTATAGCATATTCCAACAATCACCTTACAAGATAGATAAATAACCTTATGGTAAGGCTATAGAATATAAGTAGAGAAACTTTCAAGTTCATATGAGTTCTGATCATCTATGACCAACTTCAGAGCTTGAAATTAGACAAGGCAGAGGTGCCACTAAGGCCTTTGTTGTTGAAGTAAGCAACATAGTCCGTCACAGTTGTCTCCCTGTATTTTGGAGGATTGTCTTCCGATAATAACTCCTTGATTGGTCCATAGAGTTTTGTCAACGGTAACATCCCTGTGCAGAAGAAGCTCGCAACAAATATCCTTGGTCCTACACAGTTTGCCAGTACCCTGTGTTGTATGCTCTTGAATCTATCGTTTGATATGAGCTGAAACCCCAAAAAAAAATCAATTTAAAACCCAATTGGAATCTAATTCGAACAATTTGACACAAGAAAGATTACAAAATTTAGAGATGGCATAAATATAAACAAATAAGACACGCTAATATATCATACATGATAATAGAAAAAGAAATGTTATGGTGTTATTACTCAACTCTAGAGATTGGGGTATTTGGGCTAAACCACACAATGAATCAAACTTGACATTCACTTACAAATATAAAGAAATATCACCAGATGGTAGTGATAGTGCCGATTATTTTGTAGATCATTTAGTAAATTATGTACAAAGTGAACAAGTCGAAGGTTTTGATAACAATTAAGATTTTCATTAGCACTTTCTATTAATTGGTGATTAGAAAATAAACATCTTCAATTACGAAATGTATACAACGATGACTTGTTTATCCAATAACAATATATATATATATATATGATTATTTTATACTTGCCTGTAGAAGATCTCCAATGCAACCACAAGTGCACCAGGCACAACGGGAACATCAACCCACTTGCTCTGATGAAGAACTTGAAGACCTCCAATATGATCTTGCAGAAGGATTGTGAGGAAGTCATTGTCAGCATGATTGCTTGTGCCCATAGTCAACTCTGGCTGTGGACAAGGAGGATAGTAATGGCCTCGAATCACAAGCCCCTCACTGCAATCTATGTCATTCATGTTACTTGGCTTAAGGCCAAGAGCCTCCGACAACAACTCGAACAATAACCTCCCCAACTTCATTACTTCATCGAATATTCATCCAGTATGTCTCTGCAAGTTGAAATTAATATAGAAATTTAACCAATATGGTGAGTTGACCGGCTTATATATGTATCTTTTTGCTTTTCAAATTCTAAGTTTTGTTGTATTCAATAAAACCAATTCCAACCCTGCTTTATGTCTAATAAATTTAGGCCTTTGCCTTAGAAAATGGATTTCCAGTGTTGGCCGAAAGATTGGACCACATGCCTATGTTATACTGGTAAAAGTATGTAACTCCATAAGCACCAAAGTAAATACATGATCAAGTCATCAAATCAATTAATCATGACAAAGATATAATTTAAAAGTTTACCACTGATTGCAGAGAATTATGAACTATCTTGTCACATACCTGCATACTTGTGGCAAGTCTTCTGGCTTGGTAGGATTAGGAGCCACATCACACATAAAAGTATCCCTCCAATTAGTCACCGGTGCACTGTAAAGATCAAAGTTGCTATTGTAGATCACAGGTTTACAGGGATCACGAGTATAAAGCTCCTTCTTCACTTGAGTGTCTAGCTCGAAAAACCTTCGTAACCCATCCTTTATCTCCTCCAGAACACCAACAGGTATTCCATGGTTGATAATTTGAAAAAAGCCCCAAGTCTCTGACGCCTCTCCGACTTTCGCAGCAATCTCCTTGCATTTAGTTGGACTATCAAGTCGATCTAGGCCTTGAAGGTCTATGACTGGGATGCTAAACTGGGTGGCTTCTGAATCAAAGCTGGGATTGTTGATGTGGTAGTGATCATCCGACTCTGGTGGTCAATGAAAAATTCTAGGAACCTCAGTTATGCCCGCATCAACGAGGCCTTTAACTCCTTCTTTAGTCTCATCAAAAGCTTTTACTTCTGTTTGCTCTCTAAATCCGCCATGGGCCTCGCGGGCAAGCCGGGGATTTACTTCACATACGAGATTGGTGGGTGCGGGTGTGCCACTACTAGATGCCGCTAGTAGACGGCATTTGAATGATTGAGGTTGTGCTTGAGATTGACTTCAAACCAAGAGATTGTGCCATTGAGTGGGAGTAGCTCAAATCAAGGTTCTTTCTTTGCCTTAAAAATAAGGACTTTACTTATATAGAGAAATGTAACAACAACTAAATAACAAGGTTGTTGGAAGTGTGAATAACAGAGGGACATAAATGACTGGTATTGTAGATTGCTTGTAATTTATATAACTGGAAATGAGTACATAAAACCTACAAATGAGATCGATACCGCAAGTGAGCAGCAGAGCTAATAAACTAGATAAAAGAAGGCTTTTGGCAAATCTAGTTTGAGCAGAGTTTGTGCTTGTATTTGTTTATTTGTTTGAGTGTCTATAATCCTTCTCCATCTGCTTCTTTATATAGAGGTCTGGAAGAGCCCCTTGCTGAGATCTTTGTACTTGCCCGAAATAAGCTTGGGCAGCTTATATTTCATTGCTTGGGCAGCTTGCATTGCATTTGCCAACTTGCATGTAGAAACATATTAAAAGGGAAACTTGCATCTCCACCACATGCTTTCATCACATGTTTTCCCACTTGTAATAAACTAACATTTAAAAGAAGCAAGTTGGCTTCTTTCACATGTTCCTTGTCCGAAAGCTCTCATGGTGCAGTCTCATCCACTTGCAAGAAAAAGCATGCCCTCTCTTGGCAAACCTCCACCACCAAAACAAATGGGAGAAACAATATTATAGTGCCAACCTATCCCACTTGATAGCTAAATATCTTCCAAGTTAGTCTTCTTGCTCATTAATCCTCCAAATGCCATATTTTACCCAAATTGCCCAAATAAGTAAAAATAGGTATATTTAGGTGCAAACAGTGCCCCCCAAGTTTTACAAATTTGAGCAAAGTTTGTGAAACTTACAACTCCAATAAGCTTCTCCAGAAGATTGATGATATAGCAGGCATAAGAGACATTTTAGCATGAAGAACACTTGATCACAAATGGCAACTTTGTTTGCTCTCCTGTGCTGTCAGGAATGATTTTGAAGGAAGAGGCACGTCTACCTCTTCGGTTCTTTTGTCGTTGATAAAACTGGGCAAAATATCCAATTAGGCATTCCCTTGTGGCCTCCGATTTTTTGTTCTAGCTATTCTTGGATTATGCGATTATCAACAGCTTTAACCTCAAGTTCGAAGGACTTCTCACAATTGCTCCATCACTTCAGCAATAAATTGGGATGCTTCCAGGTGACCCATTTTGTTGTGTGAAACGAACTCTCCAACTTTCTTCTCCACCAAAGCTATTTGTTTATTCTTTGCCTTGATTTCATTTTTAACTCTTACATTTCTCTCTTAATTTCTCCTTCTCGGAGTGTCTTGAAGCTTCCTCAGGCAACCGCTTCAGAGCACTTAAATGGAGTGCTACCTTATCAGACAAGATTTTTTCCTGCTCCCCTAAAAGATTGACCTGATGCTAGTCAGGGGCATTTTTGCTGCTTGAATTTCAGTTTGTTTTGCCGATGTGCAAATTTCAACGTATGATGTGTCTTTTCGAAACTACTTGATGAAGAAGTAATAGTGCAGATGAGAGATACACGCCCATGGATTTGTTCTGGAACCACAATGCCGTCCCGGGCTCATGGAATTTCTTCGTCGTTGTCTTCTTCACTTTCTGCTTTTTCGCTGCTCACCTCATCTTCGACAGATTCATCTTTCGCAAAATTTCCATCTTGTTGTTGAGGAAGGGGTATGCTCCATTGAAGCTTGGTATGGCCACACGGGCAAAGATTGTAAAATGTTCGGAGTCAATGCGGAAGCAACAACAGAAGGCAGTGGAGATCGTGGGGTGGTAATCAACCTTATTCTTCCCATGAAACTTCAGATTGCTGGAGGAACAATAACACATGGCAATCACTTTCTAATAGTAGCTTAATTTGTCCTCCACCATTCAAGCAACTTTGGGTCAGGAAGCAATTAACAGGTTTATTGGATGAGTCGGTGCAATTTTCACAATCTTCTTCAAGCCCTTAACTCTTTGTAAGCAGTTTGGTAACACATCATTGAAGCTGCAGTAGTTGTGGCAATAACGCTTCAAATATGTTTGCCAGATCAAACATGGGGCCCCACGTTTGATTGACAGAACACCCTGCAGCAGAGAAGACTTCATTCCCATCGGGCAAGATTATAGCTTTGTCGGGCAATAACAACATAATTCATGCCCCTCTTGTAATAGCCGTTGAGACTGAGGAAGCTATATTTGAGTGAAAGATTGTCAGGCAAATGCAAAGGAAACCAAGTTGGGCAAACTGCAACATCAATTTTCTGCCATCTTTCTCCAGCTTTCGCAGTGCATATTTAAATGCAGCCTCATTCTTTTATTTTCTCACCCATGAAAGCTTGTCCCCAATAATAAATAGTCTGCATTGGTAGTAGGTGCTGGTGAGAGTTGGGGATGCATGCGAAATCTATTGGTGGTGATGTGAAAATCAGCTGGGAAGACGCCCTTTCCGTTAAGCATGATCACGGTTCCATCGGGCACCACCAGTCGGGCAAGATAACCCCATGCACTTCTTGCAATAGTTATTGAGAAGCTCTTTGATATAATTTTGCACAGGAAAGCCATGATTTTGGCTTTTATAAGGCTTCAAATTCCATGAATCTGGGTGATATGTTGTGGAAGATATAGCCATTGGACAGGAGAAAAGTGGAAATGAGGGTAAACATGGTTACTTGCAAATTGTTCAGATTTTTGATATTTTCTGTAAAGCTCCCTAGAAAGAAAACAAAAAGGGAAAGAAAGCAAGAAAAACAAAAGCAAGAAAGCAAAGCATTTTTGTGGTTTTTGGAATTTTTAATTTTTATATCTTTTCTTTGTGACAATGCAAGAAACAGACAAAGAAAACACAGCCATTTCGGGCAAGTGGAAATAAAAACAAATAAAAAGAAAGACTTGCCAGGCTACTAGAACAGTAAAACATAAAGAACAAAAAGACAAAGCCTTTTTGGGTGAACCAAAACAACAAAAAGAAAGCCCTTAGTCGGGCAATAGAAATGCCCACTCGGGCAAGGTGAAAAAGGGTACCCAGATTTTTAAAAGCAAGAGGAGAGAGAGCCTTTTTTCAGGCAAATTAAAACAAACCAGATTTTAAACTTTTATATTTTCTTTGTTATCTTTTTTCAAAACTATAATAAAATATAATATATATATATATATATATATATATATAATATACATACATATATAGAGCCCTTTTCAGGCAAAGTGAAAGACAAGACAAGACAAGACAAAGAGAAAGAAATAATAAAAAAAAAAAAAAAAAAGGGAGGGATTGGGCACCTACTTTCGGGCAAAAGGAAATAGGAGAGAAAGAAACGGAAAGAGAGAAAGAAAGAAGAAAAGGAAGACAGGGAGTTCCACTTCGGGCAAAAGAGGAAACAACAAAATAAGCCCTACTTGGGCATATTGGTCAAGCCCCTTGATTGCCCAGATATCTCTTAACACTCAAATCTTTTTCTCTTTTTAAAATTGAGTATAGAAAGATCAGATCCACCTTTTAAATTGGCCATGCTATGTAGCTTGGGAACCATAGGAGGTGGTCATTCATGTTTGATCCCGAGCTTTGTCCTTCTCAATATCTCGATGCGGGCAACATACTTGTGTTGGCGGGGAGGAGTATATGAGCTTTTTTCTTCTTCTTCGGGCTCCACATGAGGTGTGAGTTCGAGCCCCCCGAGCGTTGGTGTTTGGCCTACAATAGCCATAAGCTCCATCTTAGCTGTTATTGGTTTTGATGTCGGCTTGGTCTTCTACAACCATATCCATTTTCATGGATTTTTCATTGGGTGGGGCCATTGTTTGGCCTTCATCAACGTGTATGATTTGTTCTTCCTTGGTTGTAGTAGGGTGAGTGTGCTTTGTAGAGGGGATTTGAGATATTTGATCTATCAACTTTCTCAAAGTTTCTCCAAAAGTTGTATAGCTTTCCTCTACCTTTTTAAAACACTTAGTCACCTCTTCACCATATTCGATGCTTGCCATATG